CATTATATGCTTATACGGTCGAGGTTTCCTAAGGTAACCAGCACATACAACAATGTATATAACTCTATAAAAAAATACTTACACATTAATACTTAATACAGAGTTATCAAAGCAGCTGTTGTCCCTAAACCAGGACAGAAAAATAGATTGATATTTTGATGGCTTATAGTACACTACATTTATTTATTTAAAATGTTTACATACCACCCTTCTGCCTATAGGATTTTAAGGTGTCTTACAGCAGCATAAAAACCATGACAGCATAATTGCTTTCAACTATTTGCAAAGCTCAACACTCTTTGCACTGGGTTTTGTGTGTGTTAGTTTACGTTGCAAATGGCCAGAAGCATTTACATTTCAGATAGCAGTCACTCTTCAAAATATTTGGCAAGTTTCTGATGTCAACAGTGTAAATGCCTTCGCTCTAAGCAATGAAGAGCTCTGTGGAACTTAATAGCACAAATATTCTTCAGCTGCCACCTTCAGGTAGCCCAGCAGAAAAACCAAAGTCTGTCTTCCTTGCTCATTGAGCAGCTGTCATCTATTGAACCATTCCTATAGAAGGTTGATAAAGCACCTCACAGATTCGAACTTTGGTCTCTGTGTTTAGTGTATATGCAGTTTTTATGAATCCTGGCTGAGTTAGGACATAGGAATCTGTGTTAGTTCACAGGGTATTCCCCAAATCCAGTTAATGCAATGCTGTTACAGTGGTACCTCAGGTTACAGACGCTTCAGGTTACAGATGCTTCAGGTTACAGACTCCGCTAACCCAGAAATAGTATCTCGGGTTAAGAACTTTGCTTCAGGATGAGAACAGAAATCGTGCTCCGGTGGCGCAGTGGCTGCGGGAGGCCCCATTAGCTAAAGTGGGGCTTCAGGTTAAGAACAGTTTCAGGTTAAGAACGGACCTCCAGAACGAATTAAGTTTTTAACCTGAGGTACCACTGTACTCCCTTTTCAACCTTCAATAAATGATTCAAGGAGATGGAGCAACTCCTCTATGAAGACAGGTAGCTGCATCTGGGGCCTTTTGGATTTGAAAAAGGTGAGAAAGAGGCAACACAATAGAAGATTATAAAATTATGTACAGCATGGAGGAAGTGAATAAAGTTTTTCTCCCTCTCTCATAACACTGAAATTTGTGGACATCTAATGAAGCTGAATGTTGGAATTTCACAACAGATACAAAACAATCCTTTTCATTCAGTGCATTGCTAAACTGTGGGAGCCCCCCACCCACCATGAGGCAGTGATAGCCACCAACTCAGGTGGCTTTAAAAGAGATTGGGCAAATTCATGGAAGAGAGGCTCACCAGTGGCTACTAGCCAGGATGGCTGTGCTCAGCCTCCACAGCTGGAGGCAGCAATGCTTCTGAATACCAGCTGCTGGAAGCCACAGGAGGGGAGAGGGCTCTTGTGCTTGAACCCTGATTGCGCATTTCCCAGAGGCCACTGTGACAAGAGGGTGCTGGACCAGATGGGCCACTGGCCTGATGCCGCAGCCTCATCTTACGTTCTTACATTTTTATGACTGGAGTTGTCGTGCCCAATATCTTGCAGGCACCAGGTTGGAGAAGTCTGTTCTAGGGCATGAGGTCAGTCAAGGCGCAAGGAGGGCAGACGGGTGTTTCTGGAGCAATCTCCAAGCGCTGTGTCTTGTTTTGAAGTGGGAGAGGGGGGGGGGAGAGAAATCCCTTCCTAAAAATACAGCTGAAATGACAAATTAATTTTCATCTTGATGGGAGCACAGAGCGACTGCTAAGGGTGGCGAGGACAAAGCCGGTGATTAAACGATAATAAGTGCTTTCGTGTTTATAAGTTATGTGCTCGGTCCTGGAGAGGAATATTTTTAGGTTTCAAAGAACACAGCAGCAGCGGTGGGGCCTAGGAAACTTGTGATGCGATGCAGCAAAGGCTTAAAGCTGCTGCCGCTCACCGGAGGCTCAAAACCCCAAACCCCTGTTTTTGCAGCCCACTTTATCAGACGCATTTAAAAAAAAATTATTTCCAAAACCAAAAAAGGAAAAATTACAAACATCAAATTCAACATCCATATTCATTTTCTAACATAAACCTATTACATAATTAATTATTACATATAAAATATACCTAATTACTCTAAAGGGGACGCGGGTGGCGCTGTGGGTTAAACCACAGAGCCTAGGACTTGCTGATCAGAAGGTCGGCGGTTCGAATCCCCGCGACGGGGTGAGCTCCCGTTGCTTGGTCCCTGCTCCTGCCAACCTAGCAGTTTGAAAGCACGTCAAAGTGACAAGTAGATAAATAGGTACCGCTCCGGCGGGAAGGTAAACAGCGTTTCCGTGCGCTGCTCTGGTTTGCCAGAAGCGGCTTAGTCATGTTGGCCACATGACCCGGAAGCTGTATGCCGGCTCCCTCGGCCAATAAAGTGAGATGAGTGCCGCAACCCCAGAGACGGTCACGACTGGACCTAATGGTCAGGGGTCCCTTTACCTTTACCTAATTACTCTAAACTTCTCTTTGCTGTATCCAAATGTAACACAGTTAGAAATTGTATATTAAAGCTTTTATATTATAAATAATATTTCAAATTCCCCTATACCACTCCGGTCCCCTTCACCCATGTGTGATTTTTTTCTCTTCTGTCTTGTTGTGTTATTATAATTTCATCATTGTTCAGCTGATTCTTTTATTATTTCCTTGCTGACCCCTGCACATTTTACACGTTATCAATTACGGTTCCAGTTCTGGAACCATATTTTTTCATATATTCCTTCACTCCCTCCCACTCTTTAATTATTCTCTGATTTGAATGGTCACTAATAGTTGCTGTCAATTTTACCATTTCCACAAAGTCACAGAGTTTACTTTGCCATTCTAATAATGATGGTCTTCTCTCCCCCTTCCAGTGCTTTGTGATCAGTATTCTGGCTGCTGCTGTTGCATAAAGGAATACATTTTTATCAGATGCATTTTTGTGGGCTGCTGTCCATGTCATCAGATGAATGAAGGGAGATCCTCAGCTGATGGATAGAGAAACCTTTTCCTCCTTTCTCCCTAACACTAGAACTCGGGGACATCCAAGGAAGTTGAATGCTGGAAGAGTCAGGGCAGATAAAATAAACTACCTCTTCATGCAGCACATGATTAAACTATGGAACTCACCTCTGCAGGAAGCTGAATGTGGCCGGCCCTCCAGCCCCTCAACCTGGCCCGTCGTATTCTTTCCAGGCCACACACATCGCAGACCCTGCTTTGCACCCTTCTTGAGTGTTTTTGACTGGATGAGCGCTGATGATGCCTCTTCCTTGACCGGATGGAGCAGAGGTTTTCAACCTTTCTGAGTCCACGGCTTCCTTGACCAACTGCATTCTTTCTGCGGCACCCCTGTGGCCCTCAAGTGCCCAGTTATGTCACCCCTTACTTGCAGAGCTGGCAGCCTCCCTTCCTTTTTCACACACCATCCCTTGTGGAGTGTTCCACCAGCCTCCTCTCCTCTCCCCTCTCCTTGGGAGTCCTCTGGGCAGCCACAGCTGCTACCTCTGGTCTCTGAGCTGCTCCCCTCCCTGCCCCCTCCCTGCCTGCTCACACTGCCCCACAGGGGACTGAGAAGCACCCTCTGGCCGGCCCCAGAGGCATCATTCACCTGGGGAGCTTGTAGCCAGGGCTGCTGCAACAAACAGCTGTGCAAGCCTTTGGGAGGCAGAGAAGTGAAAGGGAATCAGGGAGGGAAGGAAAGAGGGACAGAGGCCAGTGTTGCCTGCAGCACCCCTGACCATCATTCAAAGCACCCCAGGGTGCCATGGCACACTGGTTGAAAACCACTGGGATGGGATACGTGGTTGAAGTATAATGATATTCTGATGGAAGTGGATATAGGCGGTAGGGTTAGAAGTAGAAGATAGTGTATTTTATAAGTGATAAAATGTGAAGTTTTTTATGGTTAAAGTAAGTGTGAAAAAAAAAGATGGTAAGAAATTATGATATATGTAAACTGCTAAAGATGAAGTAAAATGAAAATCAGATAGGTGGGACTTGGGGAAGCCCATTTAACAATGTTTAGAAAAATAAGGATATGACAAGAATTTGTTTGTATTGTTTGTCTTTTCTGTTTGTGTTTTTTTATTTGTGTTATAAAATGAATAACATTTTTTTGGGGGAAAAAAGAAAACCACTGGGATGGGGGATAGAGACAGGTGTGTACAAAGGTAGCATTGACATTCCTTCCCATACCCACTCTTGCCTCTGGCCCCACCCACCACTGGTACCACTAGCCCGCCTGCCCAAGGTTATCCAGAAATGAATGCAGACTGTAAAGAGCTCCCCACCCCTGTACAATTTAAATGCAAAATTTTGTGCAGTTTCCTTTTTTATTATTAAAAAAAAGCAGAATCAATCCATCATCGATCCCATCAACCGACCTCACAATAAAACTTACACATCCATTTACATACCAAGTGAGATGCCAGATTACTAAACATCTGCTTCAACAGCTAGGAAAACAAGGTTGCAAATATTTGGATAAGATTTTTTTCTCATGCCTTCATTGCTCCCAACAGGAACAGGAATTTAGCTACAGTTTCTTTATTTGTATTAGAGAGAAGAAGAATATATGGTGGGTGATATCCAACTAAGCCACACTCAGAATAGGACTAACATTGGATATCGCCCAATATCGAGAAGATCTTCCAGGAATCTTCCAGCTTCTAGAATCCAAGGTGTTTGTTGGATTATTCAGCTCTTTCTGGAGTGGACAATTAATGCTACAGAATATAAGATGCTCCTTGCCTGTGTTTCAATTTTTTCTGTACATGGACACAACCTTAAAAAGAAGAAGCAAAAAACAGGACAGATGGAGTTCTGAATGAATGCAAATGAAACTGACTGCAGACTGGAAATAGACTAATCCACCCATCTCTAACTTTAGATAGAATTATAGAATTGTAGAGATGGCTGTTGATCAGTGTAGATGGTACTGCGCTAGACAGGTCAGTGGTCTACAGGTCAGTGTAGTGAAGGGCTGTAGTAGCTCAGTGGTAGAGCATTTGCTTTGCTTGCAGAAGGTCTCAGGTTCAATCACTAGGGGCATCTTTAGGATGGGCTGGGACCATCCCCTGCCTGATACCCTGGAGCACCACTGCCAGTCAGTGTCAACATTACTGAGATAGGTGGACCCCAATGAGGCAGTTTCCTGTGTTCCTATTCTATCAGCTCTTTCTTCACAACCATGAGGATTAGAATATTACTTGTTATCTTTAGGGGGAAGGGCCTTGTGGAATAGAGGTTCTGCTTTGAATGCAGAAGGTCCTAGGTTCAATTCACGGTATCTCTGTGTAGGGCTGGGAAAAGTCTTCCCTGTCTGGAACCCTGGAGAGCCACTGTCAGTCAGTGTGGACAAGTTCTGACCTAGATGGACCAGTAGTCTGTATATGGCAGCTTCCTACAGTCCAATGCATTAAAGGTATGTATATCCACTAAGACTATAATATTTGAGGTGCTTCTTTATTTTTTAGCACTATTGTGGGACAGCACCGTGGGTGCACTATGAGAGGCTGTTAACATGTGCCTATTAAATTTGTCATGGATGAAGTGGCACCTAAAGTTGCCAACAAAAACACGTGGCAATTTGCCTTTTAAAACATCCTCCTGAACACTCAGGACAGCCGGTTTTCTTTCTTTTTTTTTTTAAAAAAATGGAGATCAGTTTGGTAAACTTCTGGCTTTTTAACTTGCATTTTTTATTGCTCTTAAATCCTTCTTTTGAAACAGAAACTTCCTGTCATTGAAACGGACAATCAGTCCCTGCGAAGCAGCTGCAGCATGAAGTGAGGTATCTTTTGGCAGCCACATCAAAAATTAAGAGACTCTCTCTTTGAGACAAAATTGTGCATTCATCTCCCTGCTTTTGTGCAGGGGAGAAAAAAAATGATTTGCAATTTAACTTTTCTGTAATGAGCTGCTGCTATTATACGGATTCCATAATGGCTGGTTTGGCTGGAACAGATTGTTGGTGCAACTGGTTTGCAAAACATTTTTCAATGCGAGCCCTGCTTTTTTTTTTTGCTTGTTTTAAATAGCAACAGCTGCTAAGCCTGATAATTATTGTATTTCATCAAAATAAACTTACCAACTTGCTCTTCTTCATGCCTTTCCCCATTGCAGTCCCCCAGTGGATCAGGCTAGCTTTTATTTTATTTTATTTTATTTTGGGCGGAAAACAACAACTTTAATTGTGCCCTGGAGGAAAATACACCGTAAGAGAGGTAGACTGGAGGCATTCCTAGTCCTTGTCCAAGCCAGTTGCCCACATTAAGTGCTTTGTGGTGCTACAACACCAATCTACTTTGCTACCTTGGAGCTGTCCATGGTGCTGCCTTGGAGCAAGTGGTTCCCTCTGAGCTCTCCATGGTGCTGTAACATCCGACCTGTTTTGCTACTTGCACTTATGGGCTCACCCATGGAACCAAGGCAAAGTAAATATAAAGATACCACAAAAATGCCCTTGCTCTGTGTCATTCAAAAGGAAACTAGGCCCAACACCTCCACCTCATGAAATGCCCCTTCACTTGGGGACTTGGGGAACCGTGGAGGAGGTGCACATTTTATTTGTAGCTATGCTCCTCTCTGACACACATGGACACTAAAATGCTCATGAACAAATGACTGAATGTTCCTCTCTAGACAATGAGGGAAGGTGTGTATGATTTAACTATCTACATTTAAAAATGGACTGAAAATAAGAGCCAAGAGATTCTGGTATAGGGTTTAAGATCAGAGGGGCTGGGGCTGACTTGCTCTGCCATCTCCAAAACATTTGGGTTCCATCTGTGTTTTATCAATAGTTGAAAGGGTTGGACTGAAACAGGCTCAAATCACACCATACTCTAATCTAGTAATGAGCTCCAGTACTGAGCATTACCATAAAGCAATTAATCTATCTCAAAAACCAGTCAGTTACTGAAAGGAAGGAAGGGAATCAAATAACCACAAGGACCTTCACTGTTGAAACTAAGTATTCTTGTGGAAATTGGGGAGGCAAGCCAGAAGTGTGTCACTGGCTGGATGCTTAGGGGATGCTTTAACCCCAAGCTGATTGATCAGCTGCAGGCCATACAACCGTTGAGTTCATCTGCCCAGCTGTTTGGCCACAGCTGGAGCTCAGCTCCCAGCCCTGGATGCTTTTGATGCAATGAGATGCACACCAATGGGGTGTAATGCAGGCAACAGCAGTCCTTCCTCGCCCAGTTGATGAGGAGGAATCTGATGCCAAGGGGAAGAGCGAGTGTGTGTGAGAGAGGATTTCAGCCAGCAGTGCCTGAAATTCAAAGCATCATGTCTAGGAAGAGCAGTAAAAATGAATACTTTATATTAAAGGCTGCTCAGGAAGTAAGTGATGCTCGCTATGCAATGACTTCCTTCTCTTCTGCATGGATTCAACTTCTTTCTGGTAATCCTCTTCAGATAATAACCACGTCCTGTGGCACCTCAAAAAGACATAAACTTCCATGACCAACAGTCCACTTCACCAAATGCATGGGAGTGAGATCTTCGGCCACCAGGTATACATACATTCACATGTGGGGTTTTTTTTTTGGAGGGGAGGGATTGTAAACAGTGAGGTCGGTTGGAAATGAAATTCATAAAAGTACAGGGATAATTATGTAAACAGTGGACAATCACTAAACAGTTCTTGATGAGACAAACACCTTGGCATTGGTGAGCCAATTAATATGTATAATGTGCTAAACATCCTTTGTCTCCAGTCAAATTGCAAACTATGGCACTAAAATGCTTTACATAAGGCAACAACCGTTTTATGCTTGTCCAATATTTGTGTGACCGCGCACGTGCATATTGCCGCAACCTAGAAGTGGCTGGGAAAGTGGGTGGGGGGCATAATTGGGTGGGGCCAAGCAGGCTTATGTGCACTCTGTCAATGTGCATGTGGGGTGGGGGTGGTCGGTAATGTAACCCCCATGCAAAATGGTCATTGCCTGTATTGTAATCCATGAGTTTTACAGGGCAGGTCTCCCTTCGACATGTCCTTGCAACTGTGAAACAGAGTGTGTGCACACACCTGGGAATCTGCAGAAATATGTTATGGCTGGACCTGCCACCTTGTCAACACCCAAGACTGGTTCTGCCTCGCCATTCTCAGTGGACAGCAGCCACTGCTGCCAAGAACCCTTCCAGGCAGTTGACATTGAATGCCATGTACAGTGGTACCTCGGGTTAAGTACTTAATTCGTTCCGGAGGTCCGTTCTTAACCTGAAACTGTTCTTAACCTGAAGCACCACTTTAGCTAATGGGGCCTCGTGCTGCTGCCGCGCCGCCGGAGCACAATTTCTGTTCTCATCCTGAAGCAAAGTTCTTAACCTGAAGCACTATTCTGGGTTAGCAGAGTCTGTAACCTGAAGCGTATGCAACCTGAAGCGTATGTAACCCAAGGTACCACTGTATTGCATTTTTATTCCCAGAGAGAATGGTTGGTGAGATTTCCTCTCTCAAGTGCTAAAATAGCGTGACCAGCCTTGGGCACTTTTACATGGGCTATTTTGCTTCAGGCTGCAAAACGTCTTTGTCTGGCCCTGGCAATGCCCGTATGGAGCCTGAATCAAAGCTGATCCCGCCTTGTGAATGGGTGAGGTGATCTGCTGAGAAACCACCTGTGTGTGTCCGGGAGAGATGAAGGCAGGAACTGGAGGCTCAGTGGCGGAGTAACACTTTTCAAAAGTGTTCTCCCTCCACCCCAGCAGAGATTTGAGCCCCACTTCAGACAGCAAACCTCTGTAGCTGTGGTGCAAGAGACAATACCTAATACAATGAAGTTTATGTAGACCAGTGCAAAGAATGTACCTCTCTTGGATTTTGAAACGGGGAGCCTTGCTGAGAATGAGGCTAGACTGAAGAAACTGATAGAGCTCAGTTTTGCATGAACAGGATCAGGGAAGAACATACCAGATCAGACCATTGGTCTGCCTAGTTCACTCTTGTCCCACACACTGAATGGCAGCAGTGGCTCTTGAGGGTTACAGGAGGGGCCATTCCCAGTCCTACCAGGATATGCCAGGGGGACTCAACCTAGACCTTCTGCATGCAAAGCAGATGCTCTGCCACTCAGCTGTGACCCTTCACCACTGAGCCAATTACGTACTTAATTCATTCCGGAGGTCCATTCTTAACCTGAAACTGTTCTTAACCTGAAGCACCACTTTAGCTAATGGGGCAGCCGCTGTGCGATTTCTGTTCTCATCCTGAAGCAAAGTTCTTAACCCGAGGTACTATTTCTGGGTTAGGGGAGTCTGTAACCTGAAGCGTCTGTAACCTGAGGTACCACTGTATTTCATATGCAACCGAGTGAAGGTCCATTTTCAGATGCATGAGCAGATTTTTAAAAATCCACACAAATTTCTCTCTCTCTCTCTCTGTTTTCAAAAACTACTTATAATTTTACATTGCGGCCCAAGGACTTCCTTTTATTTTTCCTTTTTTGTAAAAACATCTATACTATAGCCACTTGGAGCGGCTACAGCTCGCCACACCAGTGTGAAAAGCATCTGAAAAGGTCCCTGGATTCTGTGGCACATGAAGACACACTGTTCCCACGTACTGATGGGGGCAGTCATCTTTTCTCATCTTCATCCTTACAGTACCCACCGGGAGGGACAGCATATCATGAAGCATCACCAGATCTTCAAATATCTGAAGGGCTGCCACACAGAAGATGGAGCAAGTTTGTTTTCTGCTGCTCCAGAGGAGAGGACCCAAACTAATGAATTCAAATGGCAAGAAATGAGATTTTGCATAAACATTAGGAAGAGCTTTCTGACGGTAAGAGCTGTTCAACAATGGCATGGATCCCTTTGGAAGGTGGTGGACTCTCTTTCCTTGAAGGTTTTCAAACAGAGGTTGGATGACCATCTGCCAGGGGTTCTTCAGCTGTGATTTTTTTGCTTTGCAGGGGGTTGGACTAGATGACCCTTGGGGTACCCTCCAACTTTCATTTCTATGATTCTAATGCAATTTTCAGGCCATCTTCTTCCAGTCTGACAGGACTGGTGTTTCTGGATTATGCCATGTCCTGACAAGC